GGCAGTTTTAAGTAAAAAAAATTGAAAAAATGTCGAAAATTAGCAATTTTTAAATTTATAATTTTTTTGGAGATTTCTCCCATTTACGTGGAACAAGGGAAATTTTTTCAATTTTGAGGGTAATGTCTTCGACTAGATACGATTTGTGATCTTTTGACGTATCGTTGAAAGAAATCGGTTCGGTGAGAGCTGAGAAAAAGTGATAACAGACACAAAAAAAAAAAACATCATAGTAAAATTAATTATTAATATATATAAGTAATATCTTCTCAACTTTGCATCTTAGCTAGTAGGAATTTAATAAACAAAAACTAATTTATATAATTTATTTACACTTTAAATTACACCTTAATTACACTTCTTGGAATTTAATTTATTATTTCGTCATAATTTTTGCTGAATATATAATTTAGAATAACTTAAAAGTAAAATTGTATTTTAAAAATTACCTCACATTACTCATGCATGCCATGATATACTGATCTATCGGTATATTACTTACGTAACACAAATTTCTATAAATACATTCTATTTCTGGGTTCATATTGACATAAGTTTTATTTAGCAAATAATATGAAATAAATTTTCGAATCGCTTAAACAATTAAATTTTTAAATTTTAATTCTTAGACTTATATATTTTATAATAATTTATTGATTTGTTGATCATGTGTAGTTNCTTAGACTTATATATTTTATAATAATTTATTGATTTGTTGATCATGTGTAGTTAGCAACATAAATCATCTAATAAATGTATATTTAATTATTTATAGTTATTAAAGAAGAAGTATTATAAAATCATGAAAATCTTTAAATTATTGACTTAAAAAAATTTAGCAACCAGTTAAAATCAAAGCAAATATGAAAAGTAAATAAAGTAATAAATTAAGTTATAATTAATAGTTCGCTTAAAATATTACTAAGTATTAATCATAAATTAATTTAGCTAGGCTTTATATTCGAACAAATAATGTTACGCTTATAACATTTCATTGGTTTTGATTAACAATTTTTAATCGCTACCATTTGATTTCATAATGAACATAAGATTCAAAAATAGATTAAATTGTATTAGGTTCAACGAGTTAGTAGATTTCATTTATAATAAAACCAGAAAATGTTCGGATTTCGCTTTAGAGGTTGTAGGGCATTAATAAAAGGGTAGAGCAAAATAATAAAACTAATTAAATATATTATTGAAATTTAACATTAAAATACCAGTACATTGAATAAAACATATTTTAAGTCAATAAATTTATAAATGCAATTTTAGCAATAGTCACTATTAAATAAAACAATATAATCAATTTACAAAATGCACAAAAAATACGTACTAGATGCAATAGAGGATTGACATTGGTAACCAGAAAAGTCGAGCCATAGGTATTGCAACTCCACCACGCTTATGTGTTAATAAATCTTAAAGTTTACAAAAAAAAATTTCATATCACCACAAAAATTTATTAGCAATAGAGCTTTTTTAAATTCAATATAAAATAATTATTTATTTTTATTTTAGTATTAAAAATAATAACAGATATGCCTTATGTATGGTTATAAGGCATAGTGTATATATTTATAAATAAACTAAATGACAAAATAGAAAGCATATCTGTCGATAAAGTCACAATTGACAATAAACACTGTATATTTGTGAATAGTGACATATTATACGTGTATAATAATTAAAAAAATTGAAACTTTAAAGTTGTATAACTAATACACATATAAAATTGTTAAAAATTTAAGTGCCATTTATTATAAAAATAAAATCTAAGACATTTTATTCAATTTAAAATGTGTGTTGTCATTGAAAAAACAAAGTTGACCCCAGTATAAGATAAAAGGAATATACTTACAAAATGTATTACATAGCTTATTATTCAAGAATAATATATAACTAAAGGTACTCACAAAAAATATACTTTAAAATAAATACTTTCAGGATGATGAAAATTGTTGTATCTGTATCGAATACCGTATAAAGGAAGAATATAAAGTTACCAGAGAACTTTTTTCTATGGCAAATAATTTTTCAGACTTGGAAAATATAATGCAGTCTGAAGATTTTATGTTAGATTTGCCAAAAACAACAATCATAGATTTTAAAATTGTTGATAACTAGCTATCAAAAAATGTAGATCTAGTTAAACAAATAGTAAGAGTTAATTCTCTTAATATTTTTATTAATAATTCGTATTTATATTCAGAAATGTTTTATGATTTTAAATATGAAAACATTGTCTAAAATAACTGAAAATTTGACATCAGTTTTTCCATCGCTGATATCAAAATATGTGTAAATATTACATAGTGCATTTGGTGGAGAAATTAATGATAAAAAAAAAGAAAACTTCTTTTTACATACATGTCTAAGTGGTAAGAAAAATTGGTAAAAACCGCTTATAGTCTCTTACGTTTATATTACATGTACCTTTGTAGACTTTATACTACGCCATTATTATTGTTTTACAGAATCTGTGCTCGATTATGGTTATGCCAGTTAAAACCAGTACTAAGCTATTATTGGATCTCTATTCAACCAACACTTTACCATTATTGAGCCACTATAGAATAGGTACTGACCTACAGTATTGGCAGTAAATACAGAAAAACATTATCATTTTTGTGTAATGCTATTACAGTCGCAGTACAAAATATCAGTACTGTGCCCTTAGTAAATATCTGTTTGGATATAATATTAGCTTAGCTATTATAGTTCCATAAAAAATCAAAATTTCAATATTAATATGAATTTTAATATTTTATAATATTTGGAGAGAATTGCTAAAGAGTAAAGCTGATAGCAAATCCCCTAAAGTATGAATTATACTTGATATTAATGCATATTCCCCGATCAACAAGAAAATCATTACGTTGAATGAATATTCAAATGTTAAAAGGGTTTTTATACAACATAATACACCAGTGCTTAAGAAGTGTCTAGTTAAACCGTTATTCAGTGATAACAATGCACCATTATAGAGTATTCAAATAAAAGGTTGAAAAAACTAAAAGATAAAGAGAAAAATAGTCTTAAAAATACATTTTCACAAATTCATGGTTATAACTTATAATAAGTATTTTTAACGCGTTAAATTTTTCACGGTGCACTAAAACCAATTTCCACATCGTCGCGAATAATTTTCCTATAATTTTTCGAATAATAACGTTGTCGAGTTCTTTAATTAAAAAAAAAAAATTGAAAATCGTACGTTAAATAATTTTTCCAGAATTGCCTAATTTTTCAATGTTTTATTATATAATAAATATATAAGATTATCATTAAAAAATTGTTATTTGGGATTATAATATTGACATATTTTAACTGGGTTGTTAAACAATTGAACATTGATTATAATATAAAAAAATAAAACTAGTCCGTTGTGACCAGGCATATTTAGGTATTTAAGTTACTTTATGTTATTATAGCTTAACATTGAAACAAAAAATAATAAATTTAGCTTATTTAAATAATTGTAATTTTTTAAATATTTTAAATTATGAATTTTGTTTTCAATTTCCAAGGTAATGTCTTCAACAGATGCCGCATTGGAAATTTTTTTTTAGAGAAATAGAGAATAATACATATATCTAGGTATAATGATTAATCTCAGCTTCTCTGGAGCTAAAATTATGAATTAAATAAATGTTAGATTTTATGAACGGATAGATAAAATCAATTTATGTCGATAGCGATCAAGTTAAAACTGAATTCATTCTCTTATATTTTAAATACATATATTTATATTGGTTTCGATATTTTACTTTTCGAGTATTCAACATTTTTATTTTAATAATAATTAATTGTTGTTTTTAACTTTTTATAATAGAAACAATTATTCAAGTGTGAAATGTAAAAAGTAATTGGTACAGAATTCAGTACTTCAATTAGATGTCAAAATAAATAATGTCAATCAACTAACTGTGACGTCTGTATTATAAAAAATGTACAAAAGATACATTTAAAATTTTTAATCTCTATTGAAATAATTTTGATATGTAATAAACTAAATGACGATGCTATACTTAATTTAATTTTTCAAATTTTTGAATAATTACAGAGTTATATTTTAAAATATGCTTTAGAAGTAAGCTACTATATTCATATTACTTCTTCTACTCATTTTTTGTTATCAATATCTTTTGACTTAAAAAGTTTATCTGAATTATAATTAGGATTATCTGATTAATACTAAATTATTACCCACGTTAACTTACTATACAAATACGTTAAATATGTTAAATACAGTATGTTTATGTTTATCATAAACCACTCGATGATATTTAAACATTTAAATACTTCTAATGAGGTCTGATGTAAAGCACAGTTTATGTCTCTTTTTCTCAGACCTAAAATATTCATATCTTTTGAAATGATTCAAATGTTGTCATCAACTAGACTTTTTCTTAATTTAATAATATATTTATCTACAAGTTAGTTAAATATGATTCTAGATAACTAGATATTATAATATATAAAGGTAAAAATTTATACAATATATAGAACAAAGAATGGACTTAAAAAACACTTAATAATCATAAAAAATGAGTTATCCTGTTGCAAAAAATCATTTGACAAAATTATTTGTTTGTAATTTTGCTTTATTCTATCTTATTATATGCTACTCAAGAAAAAGAATAAGAAAAAGCAAAATTATAAACAAATATATTTTTGGACATACGTCCTTTTGAAACTCAATTATACTAATTATAAAATCTATTGAAAAAATTATTTTATATTATTTTATGTTATGAACAATCGAGTAGTTTATAAGTGAATTACCTAGTAAAATTGAACAATTATATTTTGGTCTTCACATGTATTAATTAGAAAAAATTAATTTGTTAAAAAAACCATAAAAAAATAACTACCATCATAAATGGTAATAAAATTGTGTCATAAAATTAAAGTCTGCTTGACATATAAGAATTTAATTTTAAAGCCTTGTAAAAAATAGCAATTACACAAAACATTTTAATTAAAATTATTATTGATGTCTTAAAATTTTACTATTTACTATAAATAACATTTTTAAAAATTATTTAATGTAGTTAATTGTTTTTGTGTTGTGTCATACTTAAATGTTTTCAGAATCATGTTTGCACAAAGAAATGTTGTAAGTACTAAAACAAGTACAAATTATATTATGAACAAATTATTAAATTATCAAATTAACATTTACGAATTTTTATATTTCAAAATTATAGATTAAATATATATATACATGTAATATTTATTTCCAATTTATTAGCATTATTTTTATGATTTTTACTAAGTTTTGAATGAGAAATAAAATATCAAAAATAAAATTAAGTTGACGGTTTTTTATTATTTTTTTAAATGTTCTTTAAATGTGGTGATTATTGAAATACTGTACTTTTTTACTATAATTCCTTACAGATTTATTCTATATCCAATACGTTACCTATGACAAAATTCGAAATATTGGTTTACGGAACTGCTATTTTTGTGATAGCTTATTGGTTTCGAATACGCTGGCAGTATAGAAAATTTTATGATCTAGCTAACAAACTTCCTGGGCATCCTTCATATCCTTTGAAGGGATCTACGTTTGAGTTGCCTATCACTCCTGAAAGTTAGTTATATAGGTAGATATTTTTTTTATAATTTATTAATAACTATAATTCTAGAATTGATGGCTAATATAAAAAAAGCAGCTGAAGATTTTAATTACGAACCAGTAAAAATGTGGATAGGTCCAATTTTATTTGTTGGTGTTTTTAAGCCAGAAGATGTACAGGTATGATAAATATAACACTGTATCAAAAAGAAACATTTTATGTAAAACAAATTATGATTATATAATATATATGTGCAATTTTTGATGTTAAAGGTTGTGTTAAATAGTTCTAAGGCTATAGAAAAGGGCATAGTGTATCAGATTATTAAAAACCTAGCCGGTGAAGGAGTTTTTACTGCTTCGGGTAAAATTTTTAATTTTTTGAAATATTTTAGTATAGATTATCAAATATTATTACTGTATTTGCAGTAGATAAATGGCGGAGACACCGTCGTGTTATTGCCACTATATTCAACCCAAAGTTTTTAGATCAACTTTTTCCTATTTTCAACAAAAATAATAAAAAACTAGTCGAGAATCTCAGTAAGCATTTGGATGACGCTGAACCTTTTGATCTTTGGAATTATATCATGTCATGCAATTTGAATAACGTGAGTCGTAAGTGTTCTTGTCGTATAAATTATTTTTTTTTAAGTATTGAGCTATGATAGATTTGTTTTTATTTATTTCAGAAGCTGCCATGGGTTTTAATAATTTTGATAAATATAATATTTCTGGTTTTGTACATACGCTTAAGAAGTAAGTTTATTATTTAAATAGCATTAATTTTTTCCTCAAGTATTATAAAGCTTATTCTATACAAGTCTAAATCTTAAAACTTTATTAAGACTTACAGAATTTGGTCAGTTACTTGTTAAGCCATGGTTGTACTCAAAGACAATATTCGCTATATTTGCTCATCTATCGGGTTGGTATAACCATAAAGAGATTATTGATAATATCACAAAAGAAGTAAGTAAAATAATAACCTATATTGATTACTCTTTGAAATGAAATTTTATATTTCATTAAAGTAATGAAATTCTAACTTGTATTTACATTATTTTATAATAGGTATTTAGATTTACAATAGGTGAAATTTTTTAAAACTACCATGTATAATAATTTTTCTGTTATTTACATGTTATTACTTGTTATTTTTATTTACTATATAATAAAATTTCTATATTTTTGAATCAATAATATGAATTGATTACATAGTAGAAGGTAGTATAATTTTTGAAAATTATTCCTTTTCTATTTATGTAATTATATAGATCATACAAGAAAAACAAAGAGAGTATAATTCAAGAAAGTCAGAAAAATATGATGAAATCGATAATAATTGTATGTTTTATAATAAGTGATACATAAATCAGGTATGTAATTTCGTACTTGTTTTTGTTACGTTTATAGTCAAAGAAAAAAGAACTAAAGTGTTTTTGGACAAATTATTGAAATTAAATGATGAAGGAGCAGATTTTACTGACCAAGATATTCGAGACGAGGTGATCACGATGACAGTTGCGGTAAACATTAATTTATTAAAAATTATGTCAAGAGGTATAATATAATTTATGATCTGTTTTTAAATCCAATTATGTTATATTTTTAAGGGTAGCGATACAAGTGCAATAGGAGAATGTTTTTGTTTACTATTACTTGCTATTCATCAAGATATTCAGGTATTATAGTAAAATTGAATTTATTTTAAAGTTATCTAAAAATTACCAATACACCTAGACTAAGCAAAAATTCATCACATCAAGGATTTTGCAAAATAACTAGCAAACTTCTTAAAAACGCCGTTTCAAGTGATATTATCAATTATTTATGTATATAAATATATATATTATTAATTAAAAATATCAGAAGTTAATAATAGTTCAAATCACTACTAGATGTGAAGAATGGAGGTTCTGATAAAATAAAATAAAATATAACGATTTTAAGGGCCACCCTTATATATGTATAAATATATACAAGGTGATTTATTTTATTTTAAAATACCTAATAAGGGAAAGCCACAATGGTGATTTAACCGATTTTTATAAAAGTTATTTAAATAATATCTTACATTGAATATGTATTATTGTTATCACACAAGTGTGGCGGAGTTGTAATACCAATAGCTCGGGTTTTTGGCTACCAAAGTCAATCCTCTAATGCAGTGTGTATTTTTAGTGAATTTTGTTAATTGACATGAACAATTTATTATATTGTTTTATACAATAGTGACTTTTGTTAAATAGCTCTCATTTGACCAATTTTTTCAACTATACGTTTTTACGTTTATAATAACTCATATCTAGTTGAAGACATTACCCTTAAAAATTGAAAAAAAAAACCATTCATTTCTATTTTTTTAAAAGTATATATTGTTGAATTGGCTTCAACTACAAAATTAAATGATTAAACTATGTAATTATTAATTTCTTGACTCTATTTGTGTAGTTTACTACTAGTCGATAGAATTTAAAAACTTTTGGTAACATGTTACTGTATAAAAAATTTCTCAAAAACATCGGATTTCACCTGAATTTGAAAATTAATTTTTTACAATTATTATAAACTGAATTGAGGAAATTTTTTTAATCAATTATTAATTGGATTTGTTAGATTCAAAGCGAAGCTGCAAAGGTATTGGTCTTGGATTGCGTTATTTTAATGTTTGCTCATCAAAATGTTTAGCGCTCACTGGATCGATTTTAATAATCAATACGCCCAAAGAATCCAATTTTATACTAGTTGAAATTAAAGTCGCTAAAAATTATGAACAACCCTCGATTTTAGTAATTTAAAGAAATATCTTAAAATTCTATTTTAAATTTGTTATAAAATCTTTTTAAAAACACGGATCATAATGAAATTTTCATAGATTACACTATATACTATCTATAGATAGTATATCCTTTCTTTGATCATGACAATCTAACGTAAAATTTATGCGTCTGTTTAGCTATAAAAAATCGGCCGTTAAATTAAAAAATTCAAAATTTTTTCTAAAATAAAATATACTTTATAAAAGTATGTTTCTTTTGAACTAAATATCTCCACAAATAATAGGAGTTTAAAATTTGCGTTTTTACTGAATTACCCAGAAAAATTATATTAGGTCTTTCATTCTTTCAGAGATGAATATAAAAGTAATTTAACTACGTAACTTTTTAAACCTAATATTTTTTCTTTAATCAAAAATTAAAAATTTTCATTAGTTTTTAAAAAAATTAGGTCTTTTAGATTTATTTAGATATATATCTAAATATTATGATAATTAGATGTTTTTCACGATTTTATTTCAGCTTTATTTAGTGTAATAAGTAATAATATTCGTATTGTATAATATATTAAAATTAAAAGGCCAATTTATTTGTTTATTATTACATTTTAGCTTCGATGCGAAGCGGAGAAGGTATTAATTTTACTATGATGTGTTTTTTTTTTTTTTTTATGTCTGTTGCCACTTTTTCTCAGCTCTCACTGGACCGATTTCTTTCAAAAATACGTCAAAAGATCACAAATCATATCTAGTTGAAGACATTACCCTTAAAAATTGAAAAAAATTCCCTCGTTCCCCGCAAATGGGGGAAATATCCAAAAAAATTACAAATTTAGAAATCGCTAATTTTCGAAATTTTTTCACTTTTTTTTCTTAAAACTTCCATAACTTTTTGAAAAATCAACAAATCAACATAATTTTTTTTTATACTAAAACCTTAGATATTTACCTTTCATTTGATATCATTTTTTTGAAAATCTATCACTTAACCTGCTCATTGGGGGGGATTTAAAATGGCAACTTTTTTACAAAAATTAATTTTTTCAACTTAATTTTTGAANATTTACAAATAGGATAAAGTTTACGAAGAAATCTATAGTATCATGGGTGACAGTGATCGTTCTGTAGAACCTGATGAAATACCAAAATTTAAGTACTTGGAACAAGTAATAAAAGAATCACTCCGCCATTTTTCACCGGGAGCAATTTACTCTAGAAAAATTGATGAAAACATTAAATTAAGTAAGCAATCATAATTTTGGCAAATTGACTATAAAAATTTTTAATTAAAAAATTTACTTGTCGAATACTAATCTATAAATTTTATTTTGAAAATGGTAATTAAAATTATTCAAAAACATTTTTTATATTAATGATATAAGTCAGTGAATAAATTAGTCATAATTTTAATACTCATAACACTCAACCAAAGTGCCCACTTACTTGTAACTAAAGGTATAGAACTATATTCATTTTTGAAAAAATTTCCATTTTGTAATCAGTTTAAAATAAATAAGTAAATAGTTTGTCGCTTGGTTTTGTCTTGGATTTATTTAAAAATTATAACATATTGATAGCTATTTATTATTAATAGGCAATTATGAACTGCCTGCTGGATGCAATGTATTTGTTACACCTTTTGTCACACACACAATTCCAAAGTTATACCCTAACCCCAGAGAGTTTAATCCTGAAAATTTTAGTCCAGAAAACGAAAGCATGAGAAATAAGTTCAGTTATCTTGCTTTTAGTGGTGGACTAAGGGGTTGTCTAGGTATAAAAAAAATTGTTTATTTTTACAAGTAACATAAGGTTTTGTATTTCATGTGTTATAAAATTATTTCTATAGGAGCTAAATATGCCATGTTATCAATGAAACTAATGTTGGTGGAGGTTCTTCGAAATTATAGACTGTATACAAAAGAAAAATATTCGACCATAGAGTTACAATTTGACATGCTAGCGAAATCAAAGCATGGTTATAAAGTCACTATTCAGCCTAGAAAACTATTGAAATCACAAGGTACAACAGTTTAGTTATTGAGAATATTTATAAATTATTTAAAGTTATAATATGAGTACCATGTATATCAAATTGTCTTGTATAAATTTATATATATATTTAAATTTTGTCATGTAGTAAAAAAAATGAATTAAAAAAACACTTGCATTTTTTTTATTAATCAATTATTGTTATAGTTTCGCACAAACAGTCCGATGGTGCGTATGCATTTTACTCCGCTCTCGAGTTATGTTTAAAACTATCGCTTTACTCCAAACAGAAAAATCTGTATTTCACATTAATCGACGAATTTTGAGGTCCACATATAAACAAGTTTTTTTTTGAGACTTAATTTTCAAACGTTCACATAAAATAATATTTCTAATATTATTATACATAATTTTTGCATAACTACAAAAAATTTACAAAATATGTCAAATGTGGGGGCCACTACCCCACATCATCATGTAAAAAATTACCAGATATCCTGGCTAAGTACGCCCTTTGTGGAAAACCACGTTATTCTTTCATATTAATGTATTATTCATAAACTTCAATTTAAAAAAAAATATATATATATATACATATATAAGTTTTAATATTTCTAGAAGATTTTCAAAAATTATTTTTTTCGTGGAAAAGATGCCATTTTAAAACCCCTCTTGTGGGCAGGTAAAGGGCCAAATGTTCACAAAAATATATCAAATAATAGGTAAATACTTAATGTATCTAAATAAAAAAAATTGTTTTAACACATACATTTTTGAAAAAATATCGATTTTTAAAATTGTAATTTTTTTTAAATTTCCCCAATTTTTGGTAAACGAGGGAAATTTTTTCAATTTTTGAGAGTAATGCCTTCAATTAAATACGATTTGTGAGCTTTTGACATATTATTTATCAAATTCGGTCCAGTGAGAAATGACAATAAGTCGGATAATAGACAAAAAAAAAAAAACATACTATAGTAAAATTAATACCGTCTCGGCGTCGTAACGAAGCTAAAAGTTAATACTTGAGTTGTTTTTCAATATTTTCTGTATTTATAATATNTTAATACTTGAGTTGTTTTTCAATATTTTCTGTATTTATAATATGACTAAAATATATTTTAGATCAAGATCATTTAAAACAATCATAAATGTTATTTACATTCATAAAACATAAATTATAATAAATAGTTTGAAATCTAAATTTTTGTCACTTGACAAATTTTAACGTAAATTTTTAAATAAATACATATACGTTTGCGTCATTGCATAAATTATATTATTTATTATTTATACGCATTTAAAGAAGTGTAGGGAAAATTGATAACCTTAAGCTTTAATAAAATCTCTTGAAGAAAATATTTATCATAAAATGTTATTAGAAATACTCCTTGATATATTTAAACCAATTGGTAAAATATTCATTAATTAATACTAATATTATGTAATTTAAAAAGTCAAATTATTTTTTAATGAGAATATTAAAATACCTTTGATTAATTTAGGTACTGCTAAAAAAAATACTATACATATTACGCAATTAAAAGGGAGTCACCTCCATAAAACATTAAAAAAACACTGAGTATACAATACAAATTTGATATTGTTTACATAAAAATTGTTATTCATAAATTTTTATAAAAAATTCACAAAAATTACTATTTTTTTAAATTAAGAAAGATAATAATACTTAAAGAGACAACTCGCTCTACTCTTCCCTGATTAAATTATAAATTTATCCATTTATCAATGCCAATCCGATATAATTCATATAAAATGTATACATTTTTTCAATATATCATGTTAAAATATAGTACACAAAATTACCGTTACAAAATTTATAATTAAAAAATTATTTAATTTATGATTTAAGAATTTTCGTTAGAATAGTTAATCTTGCAAAATATTAAAAAAATTTTAAATTAAATTGGTACCAATATAAACCAATGTAATCAAATAAACTGTTCAAAATAGATTTAAAAGTAACATAATTATTTATTTTAAATGAACATTTGCTTTTTCCATCAATTATGTCAATTAAAAAAATACGTATTTCCGCATAAATTATATTTTAAATTACAGTTGTTCTTATATTATTCAACTACATAATAAAAGTTTATTTTTAATCAATTATTTAAAATACACTTGTGATTACTACTTATAAATACTCTTGTTACAGTAATTTTTGTAATTCAAAAATATTTAGTTAGTTTATAACTTATTACAAAACTATTTAATTTTAGTTGATGAATTATTGTAAAATTTAAGAATTGTTGAAAACTCTCTCAAAATAATAATATGTTACTGAAAAAAGTGAAAATCTTCTCCTCCTCCTCCTTATTCCTCGCCTTAATCCCAACTACTTGGGTCGGCCACCCTTATACTAAACTTCCACTTGACACGATCTCCCCATCATCTACGCTCACAGCTGTCCTCAACCTGAAAATAATACTTTTTTATTAAAATAATCTACCAATCGATTTGTGTTGATCTAACTAATATTAAATCTCAGGACTTAAAAACTCTTGAAAACGATTACCAAAATATTATGGGATTAAGATTTCATCCTTCTTATTAACCTTATTATGTAAAATTAAACAATGGTGAAAAGTTTTGTCCAGTACTTTGAAGTCATGCAGTAATAATTAAATTATTAATAACTAGTTAGTGCTTGGTCATATACTTCGACTGGGTGTCTGAGAGGAGGCCTCCGCCACTCCATGAACGCCTCAGTATTTCCACTAAAGCACATACCAGTTAACATCACGCTTCGACTGAGTGTCAGATAGGAGGCCAAGACCCCGGCCACTACAAGAATACCTCAGCGTTTAATACCTCTATGAGAGGAACTTAATACATATATTTTTATATCTACTTGTCTTTACTGTTCTAAACCCTCGGACTCTGCAACCCCGATAGAACCTCGTTACTCCTGAATTGACCAAATCCCCAAATATCAAACATTGGTCAATAAATACCTTACACACCTTTTTGCTTATTTTTGTATTACTACACTATGTTAGCAGGTCTCTAGACATTTTATATTTAGGTGACACGGAGGGGTTTCAGGGAAGATTATTAGAGGCCAGATCGGTGATTAACCCTCACACCACAAGGTGGGGTGTTTGCGCACCCCAAGGAGTTGTTTTCATGCACATGCGCGATCTACTGCTTCAGGTAGTGGGGAGAATCTCAGTAGCCTCGTTATCAGTTGTCTTGTGGACGTTGGTGCAGTAACATCGTATTTCATGGTCAGTATTGCCTTTATTTTTTTACTTTCTAAAAAAAAAACGTGTTTGGGTGCGCTGGCACCCCACCTTGTTGTTTATGCTACATATTTTTGTACAAACTATCTACGTATTATTAATATTATCACTTAGTAATATATTATAAATATTATTATTACATATTTTTACAATTCATTATATATCTTTATACCTCATTATTATATTTTATTCTCAGTTTTCATGACATTTTGTACAAATGGCTAAAAGACTACGACTGTTTACTTGTCCCGAGGACATTTTGGCAGAGCTGCATAGGCTTGACAATAATGAACGTGAAGGGGTAACAATTTATAATGAAGGAGAGGAGATCGAGGATGAAGATTTGGTATTGCCAAATGATGGTATACCATTGAATTCGTCAAGGTTTGTATACCAGCCAGACAAAACATTGGTTTCCGACAATCAAAAAAAAAAAAATAATAACGTTATTTTATTGAACACGATGCACGATACAGGAGAAGTAAATACAACTACAGAAAAGCCAGAAATAGTGAAATTTTACAACTTGTCTAAAGGAGGTGTAGATGTTTTTGACAAGTTATGTCACTCATACACGATCAAGAGGAAATTGAGACGTTGGCCAATGCGTTATTTTTTCGGCATTCTTGATACAGCTGGTTATAATAGCTTTTTTTTATATTTGCTAAAGAAAGGAGATGTTTTTTCTAATATTGTTAGTGTTCCAAGGAAATAAATAAATATTATATTCTAAATAAAAGTTTTTTTTTTAATCACCAACATGTAATAAATGATCCTAATTATTTATAAAACTTAGTCATGTATAATTATGAGCGTTAAAAATGTTTGGTGTCCTCCGAAATTTATAAAAAGTACAATGAAAGAAACCTTTCACATATTAAATTGCTATTCGAGGAAAACGGTCAAAATCTAACGGGAATTGAATGAAAAGTGCTGGAAAACATTTTACAACATTTTATTTTTTAAATAATTGTATGCCATCCATCAATCGTAATAAGTAATGCCTGGGGTATGGAAACACCCCATCTTGTGTTATATGTAACTTCATTTCACCTTGTGGGTAGAGGGTTAAAGGATTGAGATGTCCCTAAAGTCTCATTCGGAACCTTTTATAGTGGATTTTGACTACTTTGACTACAGTAGGGAAAGAAGTGTCTTTGTGAAGCGTTTCGTTAGAAACATAAGGAGGTGCGGCAAGAATTGTGCGTAGGACTTGTGATTGGAAGACTTGGATTCTGTTTGTGTTGGAAATTTTAGCTGAGCCCCAAAGTTCTATCCCATACGACCAAATTGGTTTAAGCAACATTTTATATATAGAAAGTTTTATTTTTAAATTAGTTTTTGATTTGTTGTTAAGAAGGAGCTTTAGACGCTGATTTAATATTATTCTTTTCTCATGTAAGTAGGGCGCCCATGTGAGACGTTTATCTATAGTTAGTCCCAGGTATTTTGTTTTAACCGTTGTTTTAAATTTAATTTTCTATACATTTTTAATTCGACATTTTTTCTATTATTTACTATTCAAAACCTACAATTTTTTTAAATTTTAATTAAAAAAAATACATCAGAGTAAAATTAATAACGATTATAATATTTTCTTCATTAATATTTCAGTAAATAATCATAATTTATTATACTTACTTATTTCAACTATTGACGCAGGTGTTCTAATATTTAGTTATTGAGTACCTGTAATCGTTTCATAACATACAGCACACATTTCCATTTTACTAGAACACGTTTCACAGCATCAGCCATATCCACATGATGAAAAAATGTAAATTAACCAAATCATTTCACATAGCCATCTTCACATCGAGCACAAGAGCTTTTAACTTCAACAAAAAATAAAAAATAAAAAATTGTTAAATACATTTACCGGTATTAATTTCTCCAAAAATTAAAATTTAAGTTTTCAGTTTTTAAGTGTCACTTAGTCAGCCGAACAGTACACACGTATTATCGGCATTCCCATGTTTTGTCTAGCGTTTTTATATTAGTATTAACTAAATCCTGTGCATATTTTCCCCTTTTTTTTCTTCTACCTATATAGTCGTTAAAAAAAACTCAGAATTTCTGCAACGTATTACAGTTGTTACTCATCTACCCTCTCAGAAGATAGTAATTATAGTAATTTTTTACTATAATTACGGTCAATAATAAAATAATATCTACTTTCTATCGTATTCCAGGCGCTGTCGCACACGGTGACCTTTGGACTTTTGATTAAGACAGTACCATGCTGACCAACGCGACTCCAAATACAGATAAAACTGTTTCGTCTATTAAAATTATCAACAGTAATATTGTAAACAAGACTAGCAAAAACCTGGATTCCAACTCGCAGTCTAATAAAAGATCTTTACCTTCATCACCGTCATCGCCGTTGCCATCTGCTCATGTCTTTAAAAAAACAAAATTATTCGCCACTCCATACCGCTATAGTGTTCTTGATGATACTATTGATAATGTCGAAAATATTGAGAATGATGACATAAGCAATGATATACACAAGTCTACCAATCAGGAGCACTTGAATACTACCAAACATACATATATGAATTTCTAGTTAACACCACCATTCTTTATAAAAAGAGTACTAAATTTTTCAGATCTATTAAAAGATTAGAGATAACCACCTTAGCATTACATGTATGAAGTCTCGTGAAACACCGGCTACATGTGCCCTTTGTAATGGAAATCACCCGGCTAATTACAAAAGATGCATAATTTACAAAGACCTACAAAAACGTCGCCGAAGCCTAACCAACTCAAAATACAATAATCAACAACAACTACAACAGCACCATTTTCAGCTCAGTAGACAATCACTCAACTCCAGCAGCCAACCGGATAAGTCATATCAAAGTCTTGGCAAAATATAAATAAAACAAATTACTTCAGTGGAATAGAAGATACTGTTATTTTAGAAAAATTAAAAACAAAAAAGACGATATTTTGAAATTTAGTTTTGAACAATTAAAAAATACCAACCTCGAGATGGCTATAAGGAACTTTTAGAATTGGTCATAATATTTTTTGGTGAAACAGCTTTACATAGAATTTATTTTAAAATTCCTAGCCCAATCCATCATGCTCGTTGGATGGCCAAGGCCATTTATTGTTTGAAAATTTTTTTTATTTCGTGGCCAATTTGAATTGTCAATCAAAGAGTTAATTATTTAAATAATATTCGTTCATTATGTATTTTTATTACAAGTTTATATAGTTTCTGGTTGTATATAATTTTGTAAGTGAACATTATTTTAGCTTCAATGGTGAAACTGAGACGGTATTAATTTTACTCTGATGTATTTTTTTTAATTAAAATTAAAAAAAATTGTAGGTTTTGAATAGTAAATAATAGAAAAAATGTCGAATTAAAAATGTATAGAAAATTAAATTTAAAACAACGGTTAAATGAATTTTTTTTATGTTTTTATAATGAACGAATTATAAATTAACAGTTTTAACGGCAAGAATAGAACATATACGTTTTTATTTTTTTAGGGCTAAATAAGAACTTTTCGAAAATTTTTGTATATATACTTTTTATAGAAAAATTGTATACCTACAAAAAAAGTCCAAATAAGCTTTTTCGCAAAAGCTAAAGTTTTTGAGATAGACATAAAAAACTAAAAAATCACCCTTGGGGGGTTATTTTTAACCCCCTTGGGACACGTCTTAGAGTTGATCAATCGTCTCCAAATTTCGTACATTTATTTTTTCATGTATTCGAATAATTCTAGGGGGTGGCACTTTGTAATTTTTTAATTTTATAAATAAGGGACACGCTAATGTGCAGCCTTTAGCAAATTGGTCAAATGTACATAAGGATACAAGAAGCTAGTCACTGAATCAGCATTAAAGAATAATATGAATAATAATTAATAACAGATAGCTAGGTTTAGTAAGTGCACGAAAAAAAAAGATATTATTTATGGATTCGTTATCCGATAGAAAACAAACAATAGATGAACTAAAAAGTTCACTTGCTACTACTAATTATGCAAATTGTAGTTTTATAGTCCTGTAGAACTACATAATTTGTTAATTATGTTAAGAGAAATATGTTATTAGTTTGTTGATGTCATCAAAATTATCATTTATTAAAAATAATAAAAAATGTGCTGAAGGGAGGGAGTGACAATGCGGCGGACCGTATCATATAAGCCACTAGACTCGCCTTCAGCGAGGTCCCATTTCGGCACAAGAGTAATCCTACTCTTATAGCTGCAGGTATGAGTCTAAGGAATACAGTCGAGGCATATGATTATGCCAGCTGGCTGGCCAGCAAGTGAAGTTGGTTTGGGAACACGCCTGACGAGAGAGCGTTGGACTCCGCAGAAGCCGTCTTCATTCTCTCCGACATGGGTGAAGACCTTGCATGGCAAACACAAAGTGGCATTCCCAACGTTGGATACGACTGCGACGGTCACCTTGAAGGACACCCCTCCAGGTGAACCAATATCGCCCATGGAAACTCCCGGCGAAGAGCCAAGTGATAAAAGAAGGAAATGCGGGGAAATCGTGGCTGCCGATCTCTTCCATGAAGACGGTACGCCGTGGTCGAAGCTGGACCGGCTGAGCTCGAAGTCCGTTCTCACGGACGGTCTCGCTCTGGCGTGCAGGCAAACGCAACGACTCGAGAACATCGTGAGATGATCTCATGACCATGTGAGATCAGCGGTGAGAGATCTGATTAGGAGCGTTCGCTCTTTGAACGACCTTTAGCAGACCCGTAACCCAGAGGAGTAAGTGCCGACCGTCGAATCGTAAACCAGTTTACGTATTACACCTATATTGAGGCTCCCTTTGAATTTTGGGGACCCGATGCTAGGCATCGCCATCCACTCTAGTTATTGAGCTACTAAGAATATCCACTAAAACGGAAGAAAATAAACGGAGCGTATAAATACACGTGTGTATTTAACGAAAACCAAACCTTAAAAAATGAAAAAATTTCCCTCGTTCCCCGTAAATGAAGTGTATCTCCAAAAAAAAAAGTACAAATTTAAAAATTGTTAATTTTTTCAATTTTTTTCTTAAAATTACCATGAATTTTTAAAAATGACCAAATTAATATAATTTTTTTTTATGATGCATGATGTCTTAACCTATCATTTGGTATATTTTTTTCATAAATTTAACCCTTTATCAGGCCACAGGGGGGGATTTAAAATGACAACTTTTTCACAAAAAAATAACTTTTTCAACTTAACTTTTGAAAGTGTTCCGGAAGGTCTGACACTTTTATGTATATCTTAAATTAAAGCTAATGTAATATAATTTATCATGGAAAAATAAAAATTTTGGACTTAATTTTGTCTTCACAGTGAAAATAGTTACCAAATGCTATTTTTGTGTAAAAATTCTCAATTTTATTTTTTACATTTTTAACTTTATAACGCTATAAATTATTGAAAAGTGTATGGATCAACACAATTTTTTATGAGAAATAATATTTATATTCTTTTCCATTCAACATACTTTATCTTAATCAGGATATTAATAAGGAAATAGCAGATCATGTAGCTTTTGGAATAATCCATCAATTTTTTAATATTAAATACTATCTAAAGATGTGCATCGAAGCGTTTTTATTGATATTGATTTTAATCACTGTCAGATATCATTATACTTGATCCAACAATGCACGTCACCACTGTGCTGTGACCTCCGTGTGTTGAGGTTTTTTTATATGTCAATACTCATTTTTTACTAATTAGCAATAATATCAAAAATTAGAAATGAATGAAAAAGTCTAATTGTAGATTTGAAAATAGCGCGAAAAGTTGAAAAAGAAAATATATTTTTGTTTCAGATGAAAGTTCCTTGTAATCCAGTGTATTTTATATAAGTAATAAACAGTTTTTATATAAAAGGTATTGCATCAAGCCCTTTAAATTTTTATACACGTTAAAAGTAAAGAAACATACAACTACTTTATTATTTTTATAATTTCTTCATATAAATTACAATATTAAATTATTAATAGTCAATTTCATTATAAATTTAACTACTATAATTTAGTTTAATTAATTATTCAATATTAATTTCATACTATAATTAATTGCTATATTAAATATGTATTCATATATTATACTTTTAAATTTAAGAACTACTACTCAGGATATAAGTTAGGAAATAGGAGTTGATTTTTCTAATATAATTATCCACCAATTTCTTAGAATGAAACACTATCTACAGATTTACATCGTAGCGTTTTTTATGATAGTGATTTTAATCACTGTCGGATATCATCTATACTTGTTCATCTATGCCACGTCCACATTGAGCCGCGACCTCACTGTGCTACCGTTTTTATTTTTTTAAGCGGACTAATAATTAAATATATTTAATTTAATTACAGATATACTAAAACTATTTAAAAGAACATTTTATCAGTGATAATAATTTAGCATTTTTATCAATCATTGATTTATAAAATATTCAAAATAAATTGTAATGCGCAGACATAAAACTGTATCTTATTAAAAACTCTGCGCGTAGATAAAAAAAATTAACAGAACGATAAAATATGAATGTGACCCAATATTTTCGTATTTTCCTTTATTTTTTGATATAATATAAATCAATATAATTAATGATAATAATTTACATTAATAATTATAAAATATGTATATATATATATAAATACATGTGTATTTAATTTTAATAATATACATAATTAAAATAACTATGGCTTACTATTAAATGTAGCATAATAAGCAAGGAAAATAATAATATTATTATAATTAAACTACATGAGTAGTATTAAATGAAAATAATTCAAGTTAATATAAAATATGCATAAACGTACAAATTAGTGTGTATTATTTATTCCAGAGGTGGTACCTCAGAATTTTCTAAATAAGTATTCGTCAAATATTCATTGTTACAATTACAAGCGTTGTTTTCTTTTTTTACGATATTCCAAAATTCAACTGATGTGTTGTATTTTTTTTCATCATTTAATAGATATTTTTGTCTATGTAATAAAATTTTTTTTATAAAACACGAAAGTTATAAATGGGTTATTTTATTTTGTAAATAAAATTGTATGAACTTACGTTTTAGTTGAGGAATCTTTATTCAATTTATTGCTGGTAACTTTTTGAGGTTTTATGATGGGATTCACCTAAAAAAAAAAATACATTATATTTAATGTTTTTATGTACCTATTGCTTATTTTCAAAAGCTGATTGGTTTAAGTTTCACTTTGGTAACATTTTTTTGGTGTGTTTAATCTAATTATCCCTTATAATTATATTTTATAAAACATAATTTTTATCAATATTTAGAAGAGCTATTTACTTTTTTCTTTTTTGTAGGAGAACAACAATATTATTTAAGTATAATTTCAATAATAAATTTTTAATTATCAATAATCAACATTGAATTAGAACATCCAACAATTGAATAGAAAAAACTGCAAACTTTTATTTGTAAGTAGTTACAATTATTAGTTACTTTAGGCATTATTATTTCAAGTTTTTTTGAGCCAACTAAACGTTTAGCATTTGATTCATCAACTTTAACTTCTTCATCTAATGCTAGTTGTAAAATTTTACTTTTAATTGTAACTCGAACGTATTTTGGTTGAACATCGACATCTAGTTCGCTTGTATCCATGTATCTGAATGAAAAATAAACAGACATTGATTAATAAGATATTTTATGAAAAATTACTTGGAAGCTATTGTATATCATTTTATGCTTACTTATATACTTGAACAGTCAATACATATCTTTCATTTTCGACATCAAGATTATATGGTACTTTGGCACGATTAATATTATATGGACGTCCATCTTCTGCAAATAACTTTGGATCACTTTTTTTTTCATATTCATTTGATTTTCTTGGTTCATTTTTAAGACGCTCAGCTCGTCTACTGTGCAAAGCCATTTCAACGCGACATTCTGGAGTATTTTCGCTAGGTTGATTCCAAAATCTTCAGACAGTATATTTATAAGTTTCCATTCATATTAATATTTTATTTTGTTTAAAAATCAAAATGAAAACTTAATTACAGTTATAAGTGTTGCAAATGTTTCAATTAAATAATACTACTTGTGCACTTTTAAAAATCACAACTTTAAAGAATGTTTAAATAGCTATCTATGTGTGTAATTTAGAAAATGTAATATTACAAACTCTGTATTAATAGGTTCATTATTTTTGTCATTGCTTAAGTTTTCTTCGATGATTTTCATAGGGGTTCTTTTGTATTTTCTTTTTTCTTTTTGATTCTCTATTTAATGTTTTTTTTTTGTATTAAATACCGTTATTTTACAATTTAATAGTAATAAATGTTTTTAAATGTTACTTTTTCAGATTATATTATTAAATAACTGTTATTAATTAATTTTTATATACCAACTTAAATAGTTATTTTGCTGGACTACTATTTTATGTTTGATATCTTTTAATTTTTGTTTTGCAGCTAATTTATCATAATGACTTATTTCGTTTCCATCAAGTGTGTCTAATTGAGGTAATGTCCCAATGACAAACTCACGGTAGTCTTCATAATCGGTGCAAGGATTACCAGTTAGATACCTAAATTTGTTACTAAATTATTCTTGTGGATTTAGATGATAAATTTTTCATATTAGGGGCAAATGCGTTCAATTTTAAGCATAAGGTGCTCTAATTTTTCAAGTAGATTAAATTTAATTTTTCTCCTCCAAGAGTAATTTTAATTGAACAAAGCTTATAATTTTGCTAAATTATTGTCCTCTATCCACCACTCTACGCTTATGATTAATACAGTTAAATATATTTAGTAAATATTACACGTCACTTTTATATAAAGGTAAATTATAATTTTCCGTGTAATAAAAATTTTTAGTGGTTTTCAATAATTATTAATATATGTGATTTAACTGTGGATAAATGTAGAAAGTAACGCATTTACCCTATACCAAAGTTTTCATATTTTTTATTTACATACAAAGTTTGCAGATGAATATTGTCTTTCAGTGATTCTATACTTGTTAAATCTCCTATGAAATTCATAGTTAAATCTAGTTTATTCAATGATTCACATCGATCTAAATTTTCTACTTTTTCAATGCAGTTCAAAGCTAAGTTTAAATATTCTAGCTGTTTTAATTTATTAACGTTTTCTGAAATATTGAATGATAAATTTTTATTTAAAATATTAAGTAATTTGCTATGGCACAATAAAAGTTTTTGTTATATTTTTAACTGCATCAGAAGAATGAAAACTGTAATCTAAGTTAATACTGAAAAAGGCTAATTTCTTTATTATTATGTTGACTATTTGTAACAGTATTTTGGATAAAATTGTCGGAGTTGTTTTAAACAATTTGAAAATACAGTCGGATAATGTTAAGGGATTTCGCACAAAATGTATTGCTTATTCATGCCTAAGCCAAATAATATAATTCCATATAATAGTATGATATAATATAATCGCTTTTTAATAGTTATTAAACTAAAATATTAGCTTCGATACGTAGCTGAGAAGGTATTTTAATTATTAAATAAATTTTTAAGTACCAATTTTAAATATTAAGTTGGATTGTAAAAGCAGTATTTTCAGTCCTTTGCACCAATTTTGTAAATTTTCAATTTTTATTAAATCTTCTTGGTGTAAGGATAATTCTTCCAGAGTACTTATTTCCCCTTCATTATGCTCACATCGCTTTCTTAAAAGTTCAATTGTGACTAAAAGTTAACGCGACGTTATTTTCTATACGAATGTCATATTTTACTTTTTAATAAAATTATTATGTACTTACTGTATGCCATTATATTTTGGTCAGTGTATATGAGTTAAATTAAACTAACATATACAATAAAGATATAGGTAAATGAATCACTTCTTAAATTTGCTACATATGACTTAGGCTGATTTATTTTGTTGCCATGACACTGCATTATTCATCAATACTAAACATTTTTTATTGCGCAACGCTTAACCAAAGTTTAACATTATAATTATATTTTTTTCAAGGTTTATATTATAATATATATACCGCAATTATAAGCATGTAATCTCAGTGGCGTATTCAGAATTTTTGTTTTAGGGGAAGGAGGCAAAGACCTTTTTTTGGCTTATTGCTTATTCTTACTAGTTCTTAAATCATACTTTTAAAAGTACTAATTAGCCAATGGGAGGGAATTGTAGTCTCTTTTTTCCAATTGACTACACTACTGCATCATAATCGTATAATATAAAATTAAAATGTATAAACACATAATATATACTTAAAAATTTTAAGATTAAAGTGACACTATTATGTATAAAAAAAACTCATAGTAATAAAAAAAATAGTGGAGACATTGCATAGTAGGGTCCAGTATAGATTTAATCTGACAGTGATTAAAATCACTATCATAAGAAACGCTTCGATGCAAATCTGTAGATAGTGTTTAATTTTAAAAAATTGATGGATAATTGCAAAAGCAACATCAACTTCTATTAAAATAAAATACAAAACCCATAATTATCATACAAAAATAGTATATTTTTCAATATGGTAGCCATTTGCGTATAGAAGATAGATCGTCGG